GCATCTGACGTTGAACGTATGTACAGCTCACTCGCAGTTGAGAGAAAGCCTCAAAAACCGGAAGATTCGTTCTTCCCAGAATTTGCCTTTTCGGGTAATAGTAATGAAAATTCAGTAGCTTCGAATAATACCAAAGACTCAGACTCATCAATCGATAAATTAGTAAACCTGGTCAGCGCGATGACTGAACAAATTAATAAAATCTCGAGGGGAAACATAAATTTCCCTTCTGAGTCTAGTTTTAAGAGGCAAAATAACTCTGGTAAACCGAATCAACCCAATAAAAATTCTAAGCCTAAACAGTCAATGAACAATAAAGATAAAATTAAGCGTACAGAATTTCGGGAAGCGGTTCAACAACCGCCGTGTTTTAATTGTCAAGCTAATGACCATTCGTGGGATAATTGTAAATTAGCTTGGAAAAAATTCTGCCACATTTGCGGTAAACCGGAATTCACCAAATATGACTGTAATTCAGATTACTGTCAGGGAAACTAGTTGAGGAGAGCAGCGCTAGGGTCGATGCTTCTCCTTGTTCGTTACCTAGGACCCTGACTAACAAGAAATCGGACATGAATTTAACTCTTAACGTAGAATCAGCATTACCATCGCCCCATTCAAGTAAAGTAGTAATCGAAAATAAAATAAATTCTTTAACAAATAAATCTGAAATGAAAATAAATGATGAAAATAGTAATTTTGGTAAGCCTCTGGTTGAGCCACCAGTAAATAAATCTGAATCAAGTTTAACCGATTCAGAAGTAACTTGTAAAATTTCAACTGACACAGTAAGTGTTCAGGAGAAAAATGAAAATAACTTAACTCTAGATTCGGACCCTATATTGGGCCTCGAGTCTTTTATTAACCTTGATAAATTGTGTGGAATCGGATCTCAATCGAGACCATACATTAAATTGTTAATTGGTGGTACTGAAGTACAAGCACTAGTTGACACTGGCTCGACTAGAACTTACTTGAATTCTATTGGTAGATCAATTGTTGAATCTAAAGGTAATAAAATAAATGAACTTGAATCGGGTCACGTAATGTTGGCCAATGGTACGATTGAAACAATCATTGGTGAGGCAATATTGCCTGTCACTATCGCGGGAGTGACTCGCGATTTAACAATTAAAGTTATTCCAGAGTTAACTGATCAATGCGTGTTAGGGATAGATTTCTTAACAAAATTTGGCGTAGTAATTGACACAAGTGTTCAACGACTTTGGTTAGCGGAAGAACCGATTATTAGAATCGCGTTTTGTAAATCTAGCAGACCAATTAACCTTGAAGAATGTTCAGGCCTTATGACACTTTCTCCTAGTGAACAAGAGGAATTGGACTCGTTAATTAAAAGATTAGTACATCCTTTGCCAGATAAACTACCAGCCGTTAAATTAGTTGAACACGTCATTAACACTGAGGATCATTTGCCGATCCGTCAGAAAAACCATCGAATGTCACCCAAAGTTTGCGAATTCTTAATCAAGAACTCCGGAAATCTTGAACGGCAGGGATTAATTGAACCCTCTCATGGGGACTGGTGTAATCCAGTCTGCATGGTAAAACAGCCGGACGGCACTTATCGTCAGTGTCTGGATGTTCGTAAATTGAATGACGTCACAGTAAAAGACGCGTATCCTATACCGTTCATGGCCGAAATTCTTGATAAGTTAAATTCTGCACATTATATCTCGACTATAGATCTCAAACTAGCTTATCACCAGATCCCCCTTAGTTCGGAAAGTAAAGCAAAAACGGCCTTTGTTGTACCGGGGAAGGGGCTGATGCAATACACTAGAATGCCATTCGGGCTTTGTGGAGCACCAGCCACCTTCCAACGGTTAATGGATAAAGTGATAACTGATGATTTGAAGCCCAATGTATTCGCCTACTTGGATGACATAATAATAGTCAATAAAAATTTTAAAGAACATTTAAAATGGCTTGAACTCGTAATCGATAAACTTTTAAAGGCCGGTTTCACAATTAGCCCCGAGAAAAGCAAATTTTGTGTTCCCGAAGTCAGATATCTTGGTTTCAAAGTAAATAAAAATGGGTTATCCATTGATGATGACAAACTGCGCCCAGTTCTAGAATATCCTCAACCTAAGAATGTTCGACAATTACGTCGTTTTATAGGAGCAACTTCGTGGTACCGTCGTTTCATCCACGATTTCGCGAAAATCTGCGAACCCTTAACTCGTCTTTTAAAGAAAGACCAGCCGTTTAGTTGGACTAACGAGCAAGAAAATGCATTTTCTATTCTAAAGAAAGCCTTAACTTCTGCGCCGGTTTTAAGTTATCCCGATTTTAACCTTACATTTAATGTTCAAACTGACGCGAGTAATTGCGGGTTAGGTGTTGTATTAACTCAAATTCAAGATAATAAAGAGCGAGTAATCGCTTATGCCAGTCGAGTACTCTCAAGTGCCGAACGGAATTATTCCGTGACTGAGAGAGAGTGCTTGGCTGTCATTTGGGCAATAAGGAAGTTTCGATGCTACTTGGAAGGTTATCACTTTAAAGTGATAACTGACCACAGTTGCCTTAAATGGTTAAACAACCTTCGTAACCCAACTGGCCGCTTGGCCCGTTGGTCTCTTGAGTTATTAGAATACGACTATGAAATTTTACATAGAAAAGGGTCAATGCACCTTGTCCCGGATGCATTGTCCCGCATGTTCGAAGACGAGACTGAGGACAAAATCGCATTACTTCAATTAACCACCGATGACTGGTACGATAGACGTAAACAAGACGTAATTGACAATCCGCGCAAGTACCACAATTGGAAAGTGACTGACGACCGACTTTATTACTATCGTAGTAACCCTCTTTTGGAAGATCTCGTAGAAGATCTTTCAGCCTGGAAATTAGTAGTCCCCGAAGGAGACCGCTTAACCATCATGCGAGAAGCCCATGAGAATACTCAGGCTGGTCACTTAGGTGGCCAAAAGACCTACGATCGCGCATCAATCCGTTACTATTGGCCTGGCATGCTAAAAGATATAGAAAACTTTGTACGTAAATGCATTGTCTGCCAATTAAATAAAACCGAACAAGCTAAACCGCGTGGCTTAATGACACAACGAGTTGTTCACGAACCATGGAGTGTGGTGGCCACTGATGTCATGGGTCCTTTCCCCAGGAGTGCAAGAGGCTTCGAATACCTAATAGTATTCCAGGATCTCTTTACCAAATGGGTTGAGGTGGCCCCATTGAGAACAGCCAACGCCAATACAGTAATTAACACATTCCGTGAACTCGTGATAAACCGTTGGGGCACTCCTCAAGTGCTTCATAGTGACAGTGGTACGGAATATAACAATAACGCGATAAAAGAATTAACAAAGACGTATCACATTCACCACTCTTTTAACCCTTTATACCATCCACAAGCGAACCCTGTCGAGAGGACCAATAGGGTCCTCAAGACTATGATTCGATCGTTCATTAACGATAACCATCGAAACTGGGACATTTACATCGGCGATTTTCGTTTCGCGTATAACACGGCGCTTCATAGCACCAATCGAGTCACCCCTGCCTTCTTAAATTTTGGAAGGGAACCAGTTCCTTTACGATCGTTCCGTCGCCTTGTGGAGGGGGAGGTCGAGTTGCCTCCTCCTGATGTCAATGAATGGACAACTCGAATGACCAGATTGAATGACCTAAGAGAGAAAATAACGTTAAATCAAGATAAGGCTTTTCTTCGCCAAGCCAAATATTATAATCGTCATTATAGGGACCAGCGTTTTGAAATCGGAGATTTGGTCAAGAAACCACTTCATGTCCTTTCCAGTAAACGCGATAACATAGCAAGTAAATTGGCCCCAGCCTTTCATGGCCCCTTTATGATAACCAAAATTATTTCTCGTAACATCTATGAATTGGCGTCAGTAGAAGGTCGTCTCGCGGGTAGATATCACGCTTCACACTTGCATCCCTATCATGCCGAGGACTTGAGCAGCGAATCTGAGGATTCGGAAGAAGAACGCATTTCGAATCGTGAATTGTTAGATATTAATTGGTCCGATACTGAATCTGAGTCCGCCCAGCCGGACCCAGTGGTTGATCCGATCATAGACGCGAACCCTGCATTCGAAGAGGAACGCGTTCACCGTCGTAAATTACGTAATCGGTCTTATTCTTACTAATTCACCTCTTCTCGGAATAATCTCGTTCTGCCAAAATTTCTGACCCTAATATTATTATCAGTTAACTAAATTTATTAAATCATTTGACAGAGGAGATATTGCTTGGTCCACGTCGACTGGACTATGAGGAGGAGGTTGATTGTTGGGTGACAGCTCGCCATTTGCTCACACGAGGACGTTTCCCCTATCAGGATTCCTTGTTTTCCGAGAGCGATTTGGAGGAAATTCGCCGCTCCATCGGCCAGGCTGTACCTATCCGCCTGTCACCGGAGGAGGAAATCTTCTTACCCAGGGTTGAGAGTCCAGAACCAGCCCCTCATGAAGATTGGGCCTTAAGGCCTCAATCAACCCCAAATAATTTGCCAGAAGCTGGCCCTTCACTTCACGAACCCCAGCCGGCGTTGAAGAAATCCCTGGCCCAAAATCCAACTTACCCCAGGATTAATAAACCCAAATACTGGGGAGTGGATAAGGCTCGTCGGGGCATTTGTGGTAAATGCCACCAGCCAGGTCATGGTTACCTTTCATGTCCACGTCTCTCTGAACAGAGACCAACGACAAATTACCCGAACCATTCGGCAAATTAAAATTAAAATTTTCTTGTACTAGCCCTTGTAGGGAGGGGAAATACCCTACTTTAGAATTAAATTTATTAATAATCTTATTTAACATGTTATTATTCTTGCTTTCGAAACCTAAATCCTTCCATAAAAATAATTAACTCCTTTTGATATGAAATCGACAAACTATATTCCATCATTTTGAATGTCACTTTAATTATTAACTTGAAACGTTCTCAATTGATTTTTTTTTTGGTGAATTGATATTTGGTTTTTAATCGAATTAAATTAAAATTCTAATCACGGAAATGAAAAACTATAATTATAATATTAAATCTGATGACTATTGTGATCGATCGGTAATCTGACGGAGATGACTCGTTGAAGAGAGCTCATCGGTTCGCCTTCAAGCCCCCCCCCAGGTTCACCCTTGGCAGGAGGGAGTTGTAACGCGGCATTTTATTCGCCGCGTACAAATTAATAAATTTTGTCAATAATTGAATTCTAATCTTTTCTTATTCACGTCAAATCGAGAATCAACATTTATTTTCTCCTTCCGAGAATTATTCTCTTATTTATCCACTTTCGCAAAATGCATAGTTTCAAACCTGTAAAATAGCGAACCGTCAGATCGCTGGTCAACACAATTATTGTAAACATAAGAAAACTGATACTTCGATATTCTTTCATGTAAAACTTAACACCGCGAGTTCTTGACTTCTCATCGCCCGGATTACTGCCGAGATATTGCTCCGTATTCGTCCAACATGGGAAATGTTTCCTTACTTATTACTGGAAATAAATGCTGGTCATATTAATTGGCAGTAAAACTAATATCCATCGGCGAGGACATCAGCTGTCATAACACTGGCCGCAGCCATCTTGCGAACCAGTCGTCGTCGTGCAGTGCCCCTCGCGGAGACTAAGCGAACTTTTATGAACTCTTCTCGACAGTCGGTAATTTACCTAATTACTGACTGTTGCGCATCGATTACCATCGGAAAATCTATGTAACAAGTGCGCGTGGGACTCACCACGAAGTGGAGATGCGCGTCGACTTAGGCGTCCCCGTCGGCCATTTAATTGATTCTCGTTTTTGTCGTTGTATTGACAGGTCGCAGTAGACCACGTTCTTATAATAATTAAAATTTTATCTAATTGTGCACTCTTTCCTGGTGATAATGAGCCGTGGGACAATGAGGGGACGTCGGCGTATCTCCGGTGAGTCTCGAAAGTGTTGATGTGTTGTCTCCTGACGATTAATCGCTCAGAATTAATTTGTATCAATTTCCTTTGTTTCACGACATGTCATTTTTGTAACTTTTGAACAGGTCCCGTCTGGACCTGTAATTTCTTGTGATTAAATCAAAAACTAAAACAAACTAACTGGTGATTTCTCTTACCCCGCGCTCTCCTTGAAAAGATTGAGCTAGCGTAAAATTAAATAAATTTTAGGTTTGAATATTTTTCCATAAAATATCTCTGGCGTTCGGGCATTAATTCAAACAACAAAGTAACGTGTGTTTTATTTAATTAGTTGATCCTGAAGTAAACAAAAATAAATTCTTGAAATAAAATAACCTCATTTAGAGTAATAAAATTCATAGTAATTTCTCAAATAATTATAAAAATAGTAAGACACCCGTTATAATACATATTTATGTATATATCTATATATAAAAGACTTTTTGACGCCAGACAATGTATTTATCCATGTGCATTAAGCATTTTCTTCTTCGTTCGAAACAATGTGCATTTTCCTGCTCGGCTCCATTCTGAATTTCAACAATTCTGCGGTGAATGCCTCACAGTCTCATTTTCTACCATGAAAAAAAAATTGAAAGAAAGAGAGAAAGAAGGAGAAAAAAAAACACTAACAATGCTAAATGAAAACATCTGCTTTATGCTTTTCTTTTCAGCTTCGTTTCCCGAGCACTTTGTTTTACAATAATCTTCCAAAACAACATTTAGCATAAATTCATCACGTAAAATAATGATTCACTATTAATTTTGAACACATTCGTAGATTGAAAAAACTATCCTGGAATAAAGAAACAAATTTTTTTAACAAAAAATTTTTCTAAAAAGGAATATTTTATTTTTTGATGGAAAAAATATTTATTTTCCATTGCTTTTTTATTTTTACTTCGTCAGTTTCTGTTTATCCTTTTATTTTTTTCCCCAAACAATATGCATGTTTGGTTGCTTTTTTCTACTTTTTTATTTTTATCAATTGTTTTTTATTTTGTCAAAAACTCAAAAATTATTAATTTCCTTCACTCTATTTACTATATATTTCCTTATAAATTGGCAAAAAAATATTTTGCCTTTAAAAATGTTTTTTTCGAACATTTTTCGATTTTTAAAAATTTTTTTATTTTCAAGCTTCGTACTCGATAATTATAATTAATTTTAAAAAAGTAGATAAGACTGAAAAAGGTAGTAAAAAAAGTAGTTATAGAAAAGAAATGCAGAATAAATAAAAATTTAAATATTGTTAAAGTTCTACAACAATTAAAATTTTTCAAAGATTTCGATTCAAAAAATTGATTGAAAATTAAATAATTTATCGTACGTTTTAATTTAATAAAAATTATACTAAAAATGACTGAATTCTTCTAAAGAGTTTAAAATAATTTTTAAAAATAAGTGGATTCTATCGACAAGTTTTGTTGAATTTTTTAAAAATAAATAAATAATTAAATTTCATTGTGACATTTTAGTTAAATTGTATTGAAAGTAATTGGGATTTGCCGAAGAATTTTATTTTATTAAATTCTTGAAATGTATTTCATTGAAATTTTTTTTTTAATAATTGTATTCCCTTGAAAAATTTTATTTAAATATAGTAGATATTAAAAAAAAAATTTTTATTAAAATTTTTGAAAAATAATTGAATTATTACAAAGAACGTCAAAAAATTTTTCAAAAATAATTAAATTCTTTCAAGAAATTGAATTAAAAACGTATTGGAAATATTTATTTAATTTTCATAAACAAATGATATCAAAACTTTTTAAAATAATTGAATTGCTGTAAAGAATTTTAATAAAATTTTAAAAATAATTGCATTATTTGATGAATTGATTTGAATAGAAGAATTTTATAAAAATGTTTTTAAATAATGGTTTTTTTTCGAAAAAAAAATTTATGAAAATTTTGTTTTAAATGATTGAATTCCAGTGTGAATTTTATTATTTATAAAAATAATTAAATGCTTACAAAGACTTTCATAACATTTTAAAAATTTTTAAATTCAATTAAAAATGTATCGAAAATAATGATTCAATTCTGATAAACAAATTATGTCAAATCTTTTAAAAATAATTTAAATTCAGCAATGAGTTTTTATTATTTTTATGAAAATAATTGAATTTTTGCTAAGAATTTCATAAAATTTCAAGAAATTTAATTAAAAATGTATTAAATATAATTATTAAATTCTCACAAAGAAATTGATATCAAAATTTTTTTTAAATAATTGAATTCCTGTAAAGAATTTTAATAAAATTTTTATACATAATTTGCATTATTTGATGAATTGATTTGAATAGAAGAATTTTATAAAAATCTTTTTAAATAATTGATTTTTTTCGAAAAAAATTTATGAAATTTTTGTTTCAAATAATTGAATTCCAGTGTAAATTTTAATATTTATAAAACTAATTAAATGTTTACAATAAAGAATTTCATAAAATTTCAAGAAATTTAATTTAAAATTTTTTGAAAATAATTATTCAATTTTGATAAAGAAATTATATCAAAACTTTAAAAAATAATTTAAATCCTGCAATGAATTGAATTTTTTGCTAAGAATTTTATAATTTAATCTTTTTAAATAATTGTTTTTATTTGGAAGAAATTTTATGAAAATTTTGTTTTAAATAATTGATTCTTGTAAAAATTTTTGATTACAAAAAGAAAAATTTTGTCAGTAGTCTTATTATCAGTAATTCATTAATTCATTCATTAATTAATTCATTAATCAGTAATTAATTAATTTATTTAGTATATAATAATAATTAATTTATTTTATGCTCAAATTTATAAAATATTTGAAATTAAATTAACTTTAAAATAAAATAATAATAGCACAAGCCTGCAAATAATATATCGATAGGCATGTAAAATATATAAAAAATAAAAACTAAATTTCTTTCATCATAATTTCCACATATAACCTTTTATCAATTTAAAAAATTTTTAAAATTTATAAATTAGATTCTACATTTTTTAATTAATTAAATTCTGGTTTTTGAATATGTAAATTTAATTATTATAATTATCCAAAATTGGTAATATTTTATTGAAATTTTGTATATTGTATATTTTATTAAAATAATAATTTTGTTATTATTATTAATCATTAAATTTATCAAATATTATTTTATAAATAATTATAGTAAAAATTATGTAGATTACCTTATTGCATTATGTAAAGAGTAATTAAAATTTTTTTATTTTATTATTTTGAAATGTTCACAAACGTTAAATAATGTGAAATTATCATTTTGACATAAAAAAATTTAATTTAAAAATTAAAAGAAATCAGTTAATATTCAAACGTTTTTCTTTTTTCCAATAAACTTTTAACCTTTTTTATATTTAAAAGATTCCTTTTACAATAAATTTATTTCTGCTAACGATTGAAGGACATAATTTAAAAAGAAATTAGTTTTATGTTTAATAGATCATTTTTGTTAGTGTAGTAGTAAATTTTACTAGAAGTAGTATTTTTAGAAGTAGTAGTTTTACTACTAGAAGAGTACGAAGCCTGAATTTTCTTTCACGTGATGCAAAAAAAAAAAAAAAATGATCCCTGTGACGAAGAAAAAATTTTTTATTTCCACAGAAGCTTGCTAAAGACAGGTTGGGGGCGTTGAAGCCGCAAGTAGATAAGAACAGATAAGATCTGCGGTTATAGTGGCAGTTAATAACTTGGCTGTTTATGCAAGAAAAGCAGTGTGGTTAAAAAAAGGGGAATGGTTTAAAGGAATAGAGAAGTGGGGAGAGGGGGGGGAGGCAAAGGGTCGTTTCGACGTCCAACACCTCTTCTCTTGTGCCCGGTTTGCTCTATTAAAACTTTTGAGATAGCCCGACGTTGTTTCTTTAACACGAAAAGCCCCCTCCCTCCCTCCCCCCCTTCTCTCTTTTGCTCTATTTACTACTTCATAAAATCTTTGAAATTCTACTTTGGCTTACTATACACAAGAATCTAGAAACTCTACTAAGATGAACGTGATTGAAGATGGGTTCGTGTTTACGCGTCTTAAGTTATCGATAATTACTGCGCTACAAAAGATACTGCGCCAACTTGTTATTGCCGATAACTTTTTTATTTTATTTTATTTTTTTTTTTGCTGGAGAAAGAGACTTTTTACTGGCATCAAGTTAAATGATCGTCAAATAAATGAGAGATATACTTTTTAAATGAGGATCGTTAAAGGAATATAAAATTGTTTCGATAGATTATTATAAATATATATTTCTTTTGACAAGCGTATTATTAATTTAAATATTATTAATTAATTAATAATAATAATTATTATTATTAAGCATTTTTTTTTCCTATAAACAATAGATAATATATTATACCTACATCTTTATTTTTTCCCCTATTTTTTAATTTAATAATATCTTTATTTTTCAAATAATTTAAAAATATTTTTATTAATCTAAAAAAAATATTACTGTTATTATTCATTATTTCTTTGCTTCTAAAAAAATTAGCATTTTGTAGACAAACGTTTTAAGTAATTAACAAATATAAATCCTGCAAAATATCGTTTTTTTTAATATGAAAAACTTAATTTTTTGACAAATCGAAAATATGCAGCTATTTTTTCCTTTTTTCTAAAAAAAAAAAAATAAAAAAATTGTTGGAAAATTAGAAGGTAGAAAATATTTTGCAAATTTTCTTCTCTTCAATTACAATTCATAAACAAAGTACAAGTTTTAAGTAAAAAAAAAAATTTTATACATCAAATTTTGTTTAAGAAATTGTAAATTTACTTTGGAAAAAATATTTACAAAATTTCTATTTGTTAAAAACGATTGTAAAATTATTTGAAAACATCGAAAACTTTTTTTCTATATAAATATTTAATCCTTATTATTTTTCCACAGGAATCAAGATTTTTAAAAATTTCAAATTCAAACCTTTTTGAAATTTAACAATTTAACTTAAAATAAATTAAAGATAACCGAGTGATAGAATCATT